TCTAATTACAAGCTTCTGGAGAACTAGACACACCCTATAACTGTACTGTACATCTGACTTCTTACACCCAAAGAAGATATCTTCCTTATTATCCTTTTTGTACACCAGGACAGAACCACGCATACTATGTCTTGAGTCAGTGCATTACACGGTCAGTAAAAGGTACCCCATGGATGTCTCTCCAGGGCACATACACACATCCTCTGCTCACACGGTAAGCATAACGCTTTTGTTATCATCGCGAACAGCAGGTCAAACACTACTGCCTCCCACTATTGATCCTGCAGGCATAAATGTCTATATAGATCCCATGACTTCCAACCTTGCCCTGGAAGCTAGGGTTAAGTTCAAATTTAGTAACTTACAACACATCCTAGTCTATTCATAGCCCCCCTCACATACCAGCATCCTAGCTATGAGAGCTCTCTCTTTTCTGGCAGAGCCAAGACCTCCCTCTAAGAAGAGGAAAAATAGGACGCAAGAAGAGAATTATAAGCAAAAAAAAGACTACTCTGAGAAGACATAAATTGATCTCTATGCTGAAGGGGAGTGTGGTCTATCAGAACCTACAGCTCCTGCATTACATACAGCTCTGCCACAGTCCTCAGACAAGGTATTCATGTCCATTCCTACTCACCACACATAGGTACTTTTGGCACTAAGGTAAAGAATAATAATGAGCTCTATATTTCTCCTAACTTACTACTAAATCTAATCTGCACACTCTCATACCTGATACAGAATCTGTAATCTACAATTATTTATGCTCTCTACACATAGATTTTATGAAATCATGTTCTGTACAACATAGAATAAACAAATTAATTTTCCAAACTAGAAGAGCCGAAGTTTTAAGCAACTTCTGCAGGTGCCACTGAAAATCTCAAACCTCCCAGACTGACTTATGAATGGCCATGCTCCACACAGCTTTGCTGTGCAGTACAAAATTCTAGGCTTACCAATTTTAGAAGGGTTCTTCAAAAGAAACACTTAATCCACTTGCAACTTACTGCCCAGTCATTCTTCCTTCTATCTCTTTCCTAGTCCTGATTATTCTCTTGATGAGCACTTTGACCGTATCAAATGAAGATGAGGATTTAATACTCCCAAATGACACAATTCAGAAGAGCCGTGACATTTCAGAACACTACGTCAAGCCCTTTTATAGTACATTTGTTCAGCACATCCAGAAAAACCAAGACGTGCCACTGGTTAAAAAGGACACATGAATAGCAATGAAAGGAACTACATTAAGATCTAATCTACATAGAAAAAACAGGACAAACTGCAGAGGCAAAACAAACATAGTAAGAGAACTTTGTAAGTGGAAGCTATCACCTGCACAACACAAGAGTTCTAGGACCACCTAGACCACAAACAGATCATCTTTTGTTGTGTCTCTACATATAGAATCTACACAGTCTTCAAGAAAAAGGCATAGCTAGCCTTATGCAGTTTCCAGAAAAAACACACACCTACGTTTTAACTCTGTATATGTGCGCATACTTGTTTAAACAGACAAATGAATTTGTAAAGTTTCTAGAAGCCAACTCCATAGATCGACAGCTAAGTTTTTCAGAGCAACTAGTGTTATTTCCTAAGCTGTGAGACGCACATAGAACACTTCAGATACTAACCGGGAATTTAACATGCTTCATTTAGCTGTACTGACTGACAAAACACAAAAGCCACTAAAATAAAGTGCAGAAACACAACTGTGCAAAGAACGGTCAAAACTTGCATATCCTGTTATTTCTTAATGGTTCTTGTGACCAGGTAGGATTGGTTTAATTTTGCAGCCTACTGTAAAGGGGGGGGGGGGGGGGGGGGGGGGGGGTGCTGCACAGAGAGGAAAGAAAAAATGAACAAAACAAGTGGCATCTAAAAATCTAAAACACTGAGAGCATCTTTGATTCTAAAGATAGGCACATGGCAAGAAAATGAGCTTTCACTGCTGGGTGGGAAAGCAGACACTGACTGAACCCCATCCCTCAAAATACTGTGCTTTACCGTTACCTTGCATTTTGGCTCCATATGCGAATAGCTTTTCTTCAGGTACTGAAGGAAAGAATGTACTTGGAGAACAAGCAGCACTTTTATAAAAAAGCTGAGAGAGAAGCTGCTCTTGTACAGATGCTCCACCCCAGAATATACAGCTCAATAAGCCAAAAAGTCTCCTCTTCCAGACTCCTTTCTTAAACAGTTTTAGAGGGAGAAAACCAGGAGACCTACATACACACTGGAGATATGATATCTAAATACTGCTTCAGACTCACTACCTCCATCCTAAGATGGACTGTTCATCCATCGGTACAATCAGATTTAAGATACAAGAGAAATGCTTATTCATGCATCAAGCCAAGCCCTGAAATGCATTAGCAAGCCAGCTGGACCAAGCAAGTTATACCATGCACACTGACACACAAGATAAAAGACCATGAGATACATGTCATCCCTAGCATCCTTGTTAAAACAGTAAAAAAAAAAAAAGCAAACCACACACAGAATAAAAACAAACCAATCCAATCTTTACTTACAAAAAAAAGAAAGCTCTGTAACCAGTCAACCAGTTTAACATGAGGGAAATTAAAAAACAGGAATTAACCTGCTGTCCCTCATCCCTCTCAGTTTCTAGAAAACTAATAGAGCCTGACAAACACAGCGTGAAACAACAGACCACCACTTGCCTGTAAAAGGACTACTGGAGAACTAGAAGCCAAAAAAAGTTCTGTTCTTGCTGCATGGATGCAATATGAGCTATTATTAACCTGCACCAAATATCACAAATGAAACAACTAGAGCTGCATTGCATAGCACAGAATTCTCCTTGACAGCAACGAGACAAGGTGATCAACACTGAGACAGTAAACATGTAAGGGAATCCTCCACGTCTTCAGACCTTTTCTTCTACTTATCACACCACTTTATTTTTAAAAGGGAGACACTGTCAAAGCATAGCAGGTCACAACTGTTTATTCTAAGCATATCTTATTCAAAGTTACCAAGGTCATAACTGCCTAACAGCAAAGAAAAAGTATTTACAAAATATAGGACTAAGTATCCTGAAGAACAAGCAGACTGGGAAGCACATGAACTGCTGCTAAACTTTTCCTTCTGATGATATATATGACAGAAGTTCTTACTACACAGCAGAGAAATGCAAGACCATCAGTATTCTGTTTAAATGCTGATCTGGTCTCAGTCTAACTCAGAGCAATTTCTGAATCCCTTCAGAAGTCTTTTACTGAGCTACTATTGACCTTGACCAGTACCCCTTCTGCACCCAGTGCTAAGAATTATTTTGCACATGTTCAAAGAATACATCCCAGTTCAGTGAAGCAATCTAATTTAAAGATGAGCAGCTAAGGAAATAAAGTTCAAAAATTGTTAGGTTAATTCTTTTTAGAAAAACAACAGGCTATTGAAATAAGAATCTTTTATTTCCTCTCACCTTTTTCTTTGCCTAAACACTAAGCAAAACAAGTCTGCTTGAGTTTTATTAAAGGTGGCTTTTTAACTTCTTTGTTTTTCATAATGCTGACCACAAAGCTGGATTTTCATTGCACAGGGGGAATGCAGAAAAGTTCCCCACCTACATTCCTCCTGGGTGGGACAGGAGCATGTGAGGGTACCAGGAATAGTGTTAATACTCAAGATACAGTTCTGCAGAAATTAGGGTGGTCAGTAACTATGAAAGCAACATTATACGAGCCAAATTTTTAGATCTGTAGTTATATGTCGTTTGTTCAGTGACTGTTTAAGCGTCTCCCCATTAATTCCTGTTCGCTTTGTTCCAAAGACTCTACATGTCCGTTGACTTGTGAAAAGCAAGATTATTTCTTCGGGCGCCTTACCAAAGCCGGGGGTCTCACGGCTTCTTTCCCTCACCCCCCGTTTCAGCCACAAGCAAACTCAAGACAGCCAACCGATTTATTTTACGCCCATCTTCAACAGGACGCACGTCAGTGTCCCGGGCATTGCGGGCCGCTCGGCCCAGGGAAAGCCTCCGCGAGGGCCGTGGCAGGACACACAACCCCTGAAGGCGGGAAAGGTGATTCCCCGCCTTCGCCCTCAGCAATTTTAGGTGGCATATGCAGCCCACCAGAAACACCTTCCGGGGACTCCCACCCTGCGCGGCGGCTGGGGAGCGCCGTGCCCCCCCCGGCAGGGCGGGCTGGCCACTGCGGCTCGGGGACACGGGCACACCGGCAGCCCCCGCCGCCTTCCCCCGGCACCGCAGGGCCGAGATCGGACACGACCCACGTGGGGCAACCGGGCACCGCGACGAGCGCTCCCCGAGCCGCCGGGTCAGCCGCTAAAGGCCGACCGGCCCCCGGGCCCCGCCGCTGGCACGCCGCCGCCGCCATTGCCCGCCGGACCCCGCACACGTCCCCCCCCCCCGCCGCCGAACGGCGCCCGCCACGGCGGAGCGACACCCCCCCCCCCCCCGCTGCCGAGGGGCGAGCGAGCGGGCCCGCGGCCGCGTTCCCTCTCCACGCCCGGGCGCCTTCCCCGTGTCAGCCATTCCCACACCGCGCCGCGCTACCGGGTACCCCGCAGCCCCTTCGCCTCCGCCGCTACGGCTCTAGCCCGGGCTGCGCGCCGGGGTCAGCACAGCCTACCGACCACCACAGCCTACCGACCACCACAGCCTACCGACCAGCACAGCCGCCTCCCCCCCCGCCGCTGCCGCCGCCGCACTCACCCCCCACGACCCCTGAGCTCCGCTCCTCACCCGCCGCCCGGGCCCCGCGCGCTTGTTTACAGCCCCGACCACTCCCGGCCGCGGCCCGGCCTCACGCCCCGCCCCTGCGCCGTCCCTATTGGCCCCTTCCTGGGCCCCGCCCCTCCCCAGCGCCGTTCCCATTGGTGCCCCCCCTCCCCCCTCCCGCCGGGCCCCGCCCCCCCTCCCCGTGCCGCGGCGGAGCGGCCGCCGAGGAGGAGCGTGCCCAGCCCGTGCGCCCCGCGCCCCCGCCAATGGCAGGAGGGCTCGGGCGGGGCGCCGGCCAATGAGGGGGCGGGGAGAGGGCCGGGGCGGCGCGCGGGGCCGCGGCGGCGGCAGGGGGACGTGAGGCCCGTGAGGTCCGTGCGGCGGCGGCCGTTGGGCGGGGGGGCGGGGAGGAGGTGGGGGGGCGGTGAGGCGTGAGGTGCGTGTGCTGCGGGCGGCTCCCTGCGAGCCGGGGGGGGGGGGGGGGGGGGGCTCCTGCGCTGAACGGGTGTGGGGCTGGCGGTCAGGGGTGGCGGTGTCTCGCCGCCATCGCGGCTGCCTGGCGGGGGTGGGCAGCGCTCGTCCCCCCCCGGCGCCTTACGAGGGCCCGGGGGGGAGGAGGGGGATGGGGGGGGGGGGGTGTCACCGCTGAGGCAGTCCCGCCGGCCCCCCGGGGGAGATGCTCGGGAGCCCTGGCGCTTGGCAGGCCCCGCGCGAACGCTGAGCAACTCCATTTCGTGGCGCTCCGTGCCCGAGAAACCCTTGTGCGTGGATGCCAGTGTGATTTTTTTTTTTTTTTTTTTTTTTTCAAAGCATTGGCTTCAAATCGCGGTTGATCCTGCTCACACAGATGTGGGAGATTGCATGCTCGTGTACGTGTTGGAAACAAAAATAGCGTGTTGTTTCCCACAGGTTGGTTCCGGCGATGTGGTGTCTCACAGATGCTGCAAGGGGCTAATAGTAACAGCTAGCTCTGTGCTTTTCTGGATGTTCTGGTAAGCGCCTGACCCTGTCAGCAACTTTCCTGTCTGAAAAATAACAATACATTCTTTATGGTGCATTTGCCACATGGCTGTATTAGTGCAGAAGTATATTCAGATGAGGTTTGGAGATTAAATAGTTCATTTCTTCATAAAACAAACAGGATTCATAATTCTCCTCTAGTTGTAGCGTAACTTCCAGGAGTGACCAACAGCCCTGAGCTTTAATTTCAACATTGTCAATTGCTTGCTTTGGCCAACCTTTTCAGCTAACTAGTAGCTTCAGCAAGCACTTAAATCCACCCTGAAGGACCTATATCAAAGTCAGTAGGAGCTGAGGGTGCTGTGGGTTTATGAAGAAGGAAACTGGATAAATGGTCTGTTATAAATGTATACAAGGGCTTAACTCTACGCAGCCCGTTGGTGAATATTGCTGCCAACCTGCTAGTGCTGAACTTCCCCTCCTCTGTAGAGGAGGATAATTATATCCCTTATCTCCAGCTCCTCATACCAAAGGTTATTTGACTGGTATTTATGAACACAGAAAATATTGTTCAAATATTACTTCTCTTTTTTTTTTTTTTAATAAAAAAATATGCTTCCCACTCTAGCCCCTCTCAGCTTCCCACATAGGCTGTGAGGAGGTCTCTGCTAGGCACTGAGCAGACAGCTACAAATAAATTGAGCAAAACTCATCACCGAGACATTATCCAATTGGAAGCAAGCCACAGTCAGTACTAGAAAGGCTAGATTTGAACTTGAAAGGTTAAAAAAACAATTCCCTGGGGAAGACACATTATTGGCTTAATTGCTCTACGCACAGGCCGTGCGTAGGCACAATATATCTGAAATGGAAAGACCAAATGTGACACTTTCATGTTGGAGAATGGGATGGAGACTGGATGTGTTAGATGATGCAAGAACATGGTTGCAGTAAGATACCAGCCTTGAGAAGTTTGGTCAAAAAAATGCCTAGTTTTCTTAATTTTGACACTGACACCTCCAGAAATGCAAACAAATTAACTGTTCTATTTGTGGTTAATTCCATACTATTTTCTCTAGAGGAAAGATCCTCTTTACCTTTATCTGGAAAGAGATACGTTTCAGATGTCTTTTCTAAGGACGCTCTTTTATCTACTCGTGTACTGAATTTGGCTGTCAGTTCTAAGTTTCTGTGTAACATCACTTTGCTTGCGTCAGCTCGGCATTAATTGTGAAATATGTCTTACTCACTGTGCTGAGCACGGAGAACTGCATGGGTTTCTTCATGGGCACGCTGTCATAGTTTGAGATGTAGGCAGAAGAAGCACAGGATAAAGCTCTCCCCATCTTTCAAAGACAGGCCTGGCTGGTTCCCCTTATTTCCACGTGGTAAACCATTGGGTATTTCTGCCGCTGCTGTTCAATTTGCATCACACCTTCTGTTGCCAGGCTTTCTGCAGCCTTAAAAGACCCCTTGAACTTGAATGCAAGGCTAGCTCTTTCTATACTTAGACTAAAGACGGGTCTTTTTCCCCACCCAATTTGGAATGCAAAGAGATAGGCTTGAAAGTAGGGCTGAAGCTGCTGGGAACAGATACGTTATGTCCTTTTTCATTACTTTTTAGTTCTTGAGGGGAATAGGGGCAGGACTCACAATCCAGAATCCAGAGGCTAACTTTGTGGGGATGTTGCCTAACTGTGTCTACAATCCTAAATAAAAAGTTGAACACGGTGTACATAAAGCACTGGGAGAATTGTTCCATGGCAGAAGCCGTGCAAGATCTCTCTGTAAACTGGAGAAAAACGGTAGAATATTAAAAAACACTCAATATTTAGTGCTACCAATTATGAGACTTAGAACCCTGACCCTGGAAAAAAAAAAGAAGGGGTAGAGTGCTGTACTTCAAAAATAGACCAGAGAGTCATCCTTTCCTTCAAAAAGTGTATCAGTGGTTTATGTAGCAGCCATACGTTAGCAGTTCCCATGGGCTGTGGGAGGTCCAAACTCAGGTTCTCTCTCTGCTTGTGAAGACTTAGAGCACTCCACCCTCACATTGGGACCCTAATCATTATGCACGGTCTTGCCTTCTCCTCTCTCCAGCCTTACCCATATTCTTCTTATTATTTGGCTCTACACAATGGGAAAGCTCAGCAAGAGGAAATGAGAACCGAGCAGTCCTCCATCCCTTCCAAATCCCAGACAAATGTACAATCTGATCTTGTGCAAACTGTACCATGTTCAGAGGCAGGAGATGTGGATGCAAATCCTGTGGGGATCAGCCCAGGCTGCCCCATTCTGGGTTTGTGCCCTCCACCAAAGGATTGTATGTAAAACAGCAGTGACACCTGCTTCATCCATGCTGTGAATCAACTGTCAGGGGTTGTGTAGGAGCTGATCTGCTAAATGCCCTGTGCAAACGATTGCCAGATAAAGCCCTTCCAAGTGGGATAGAGAGAAGAAACCCAGGAAACTTCTATGTAAAAACCTAAATGTTGGCATCCATTGGTGCCTTAGTGCCTCCAGTAGGATGTGACAGTGGCAGGAGGTTGTTGCAGATTAAAAGTTTTTACTTCAGTGTCCACATCTCATGTAATCTTTGTGCTCTATGCCTGCATTCTTTCGTAGATCTGTGCAATGCAGATCTGAATTTACAGAGCAAGCCCCAGCAGTCCTGTGGAAAAGCAAGTTCACAGATTTTGAGGAGTCTCTTGGTTACCTATAAGAACAAGAAGTGAACATTATTAAGAAATCAGCCACAACACATTTTTGGCACTACAACTGTCATTTGCTTCTCAGATCTTGTTCGGTAGTGTTACATTCAGTCAAATTTCAACATACTTGCTGCCTTATCCAGAAACATGAGCATTTCTAGCAAGAATCTTATACCTATAAGGATTCTTTTAATTAATCTTATATTAAGTTATAATAAAAGTATGATAGATTTTATTACAATACTATAAAATACAGTACAGCTGTAACTACTGTAACAATATATCTATCCTCATATCTAATATATAAACATAATAGAAATTATAATAAATTTAAATTCTAACTAATAGTTGGTCACGCTTCCCCAGAGCCTTTTCTCGACTGGTGTTAAAATGGTTTCTGAAGATTCTTTAATTCCCCAAATACCCTGATTTTGAAAGTCAGAGAGAGGTCAGTACCTTGCTCAACGTCACTGGGAAAGTTTGATACAGCAGCTGGAAGTCCTGAGTCCATAGCAGACGCTTCAGCCATGCCATCGTATCTTCGCCTCACATTGCCTGTTGATACTTATATAACAAAGGGCTTAATGATGCAATTTCATGAGGTGCATAAACAGCTCTGCTGCGGGTCTGGAGTAGAAGCAGCAAAGAGAACACCAGGAAGAGCAAGTCCAGGGCTCTGGGACTGTGACTTCCAAAAGGGTTGCTGTCAGCCTTTGGGCAGGGTTGCTCTCCTCTTCCTGTTTGCTTTTTTCTGAGAGGAGTCTGTTCGCTCACCACCTAGCAGTTCACAACTTACTGGGTGCCAGGGAACACCCAAGAAAAGCTCTGCCAGGTCTGATGCTAACTGCTTTGAAGAACTCCGTGAAAGCTGGCTTCTTTAAAGCCTCATACAAAGTGGGCCCAGTTCCCAGAGAGGAACACAGAGAGGAGCAGGCCAGAGTGGCTAAACTTCTTCAAACAAAGAAAGTTAGAGAACCAGAGCCTGGAAGGATCTTTGGGCCCTGCAGTAAGAAGAGCTCCATTGCAACAGGAATTTAAGAGGCAGACAACTAACCTTCAGAAAAAAAAGAGTTAATGGAGTCTCAATTAAGCAACTATTGGTCATGTCATTAAGTTGACAAGTATCCAGGCTATTCAGAGAATGCTCAGAAATCCTCTTGCAAAGGACAGGCCCAAGCTGTTTGACCACAATAAAATATACGTCACCATCCTTCTCCTGTGTTCACACAGCTAACCACAAAGCAAAAGCTGCTCTGGAAATGTTTCTCTCAGTCCTCCTTCTCCAAGCAACCACTGAGGCTCAGATAAGCTACCTTCTGAGGGGTTTTGCCTTTGTTCACTCATCTTCGTTAGAGGATAATTTCTTCAGGGCAGGAGGAATGTCTTATCTGACTACGAAGATTTATGGTGTTCCATCAACATACTATAATAATATAGGGATGATGAACTGGGACGGCTCAAGTAGAAGTCACTGGACAGGTGGCTTGGTTTTAGTAGTTAACTTGTAGGTATTTCAAAACTTTGACAGGTTTCAGTGACGCTGTTTGTACCATATGTTATTTACACGGCTTTATGGCCAAGAATGAGAGCAACAGCCTTGTAAAGAAATGAGATCTCTCTGACTCAGTCAGTGGTAGATGCACGTCCAGTATCATCATAGGATCCAAATGATGAGCTATTTTTGTAATGCTTAGGACTGCTCTGATTCCTGAACTGTGTATTTTCATCCCAAAGCACTCAGGCATTCTTTGCACTTGTCCTTCCTTTCTCTCTCCCCTCACTGCAAAGGGACAGAGACAAGGCTCCATTTCAATCAGTCAGTGAGCACTTTATTTTTAAGATGATTTAGTGCTGTCAGAAGGAGACAGTGTGGCAGTTCTCAAGATGAATGTTTTCTGTCCAAGAGGAAGAACTCAATGCAAGGTGCGGGACAGGTATTTCACAGTTTCCACCCCCATTTTCCTTCTGGGGCTCTCAGCAAGGAGCCTTGCTCCACACAGCTGGAGAGGGCAGGGAATGCCAGTGGGGCTGCTGGAGGGCCCCGAGCCCCCTGGCTGGGAGGAGGGGGGCAGAGGTGGCTGACAGGTTCTGTGGAAGGGAGAGGACTGCTGAAGGGCTGCCTCGTCCCCTAATTGAAAAAAAAGGAGAGGGAAGAAGGCACAAAAACCTTCCCTTTTCCCACTAGGTTTTGCCTTGCTGAGGAAGCTACCTTCACAGGAGCCTCTCCATGCCAGTGCTCACACCACTCACCTGTTCCATGTGACCCAGAGAGGGGCTGCTTTGGGGAAGGAAGGGTGAAGGGCGTCAAACCATGGAGGTGATTTATTAGGTCCGTGGATCTGCAGGGAAGAGACCAACAGAGGCCTGGGAGGCCAGCATTGGTAGCAAAGCTTGTCTCAAGCATTTCTTGTCTCCTGCTATTATCTGTCCAAAACAGACAGCAGTGGCTCTGGACAGGGTATTTGTAGCTCCAGTGCATTGACTATACAGGACTGAACTCTAACAGAAGGTGGGTGCAGGCCCATCAATGCTCGGGTCAACTCTAATAGTTATTTGGATAAAAGGTAGCAAGGCTGCTCTTAAGGCATTTTAGATGGTACTCGCCTGGATTTCTCTTCTCAGGGGTGTGGGGCAGATCATAGCCTCATTATCTTTCACCAGGGTTTGCCCCTGACCTCCACACACACACACTTAGTGGGCTGGATAACATGGTTTTCTCTCCAACTGGAAAAAAGAATTGCAAATATGCTCTCACAAACTGGAAATTTACATATAGGTACATGGATTTTTCTTCTCTCTTTAGGTTATGAAAGAAAAGAAAACTAGGTGTTACTCTCTAGATGAGGTGGTAACAAGCCACAACAAGCCCAAACTACAAACATGTTCATCACTGACAGAGGATTGCCAGAAAAAGTCGTGCAGCACGCCATGCTACACCAGCGTGCCACGCTCAGCTGTGGCTTATGCCACCCACTTCTCCCTCCAAACTTTGCTACACGGGTGCTAAGTGGGCACCGGGTGCTTTGGAAAATTGGAGATGAGCCCGTGGGGGTGGAGTATGTTGAGAGAAGGACGGTGCCAGGTGGAGAGGCTGCCGATAGAAGCACTAAACGGAAGAAAATGATACCAGTCTTTGTCTTTGAATAACGTGTGGGACAGCATAGGGCAAGGACAGGCACTTTGCCCCTGCCACCTTAACAATTAGTGTTGTAAAACATTCACAATATCATGCTTGCCTGTCCAAATTCTGTTGCACAACAGTGTATTTTAGGGTTATCGAGCAAAGCCATTTTGGATGAGATGAAGTTGAAGAGTGCAGCAGTCTGATTAGCAGCTGTGTGCCTCAAGAATATTTCTGTTTCTCCCCAGATCTGTGAGACTCAGTTAAACATTATTCAGTCTGTAATTCTTCTTTATCTCTGGGCTAGACAGATCAGTTGTTTCTTCTCATTGTAAATTGCATTTACTTGCATAGTTTGGTGAGTGCTTTGCCCTCTCCTCTTGCCACCTGATTGATTACACATACGTCAATTGATCCTGCCCAGGCATAGTGGAAAGGCTCAGTTCTTTGTAGCTTCCAGCCAGGATTCACTTTACAGATGATAAATACTGAAGCCATTCAACCCCTGGGTAAACACAGCAAATTAATTTTGAAGCTGGGCAAACAGAAGCAAGTCCTTTGCCTGCATTTAGCCACTCCAAAGACCCTTCTGCGAAGGGCAGAAGGGTTATCTGGAACAGTTTGTGCAGAATTGTTCTAAACAGAAAGGTGGGCTGGAGCCAGAGAATAAGGGAGAAACGGGGCTCTTTCTGAATACTTCACTGGAACTAGGAATTAACACTGCTCATCACAGGTTGCTGTGCAGGCTAATGGTAAAGTGTGCTGCCAAACTCAGCCATTGCCCCCAGCTTTTGGCACGGCCTTGCCATGTGCCACAGAGCTGGAGAGCACACCTTGCCCCAGCCTGGAATCATCCCCAAGACACCGTGTTTTCTTTCACTGCCCTGAGAACCAGTCCTTGTTCTGGCTTCCTGGCATCTTGCCCCACTGTTCCAAAATGCAGCAAGGTGTGGGAGAGAGACAGGGAAAGCTGCGAGGGTTTTCTGAGTGCCTGTGTGGCACATGGACAAACTCATAAACTCCATCCACTTGCCTGAAGATGATTTGCATGTAGTCCCAACAATTTACATCTAGCAGTCAGTCTAGGGGGTAAGCAGAAGCATTGCTGCCTTTCAATGCTGACTGACCCCTTTTCCGCTTTGCTGTGGCTATTGATCTAATTCCTGAGGTCAGTTGAGAAGGACTGCATATTCTGACCTCTAGTATCTACATGCGTCTGCATACCTGGAGAGAGAGATCAACTGGTGGCAGAACATCCTGACAGACACGTATCTGAATGCAGCCAAGAGGGAGATGCCAGCAGCCTCTGGAAGGAATGACTGATCAAGAGATGGTCCAGACATCCAGGCTAAGCCCTTCATTTGACCCTGAGCTAATTATTCCTATCTGTAAAATAGGGCTAATGGCATTCTTCTGCTCTGTTGTGCTCTTGAAGCCCGACGCCTAAAGAAGCGCTTAGAAAGCCTCTGTGGAAGCACAGCAGAGCAATTTCAACATGCTGTGTAGCTGTGCACAGGGAAAAGAGCTTGCCTTCAGGCACAGCGGTGCCGAGAACCAGCAGTGCAGGTTCACTCTCTCCTCAACTCGCAGACACTTCCGAGATTTCTAGCCTGGAGGAGCCCAAGGTAGGAGCACAAAGATGTCCCTTTCCTTCAGCAGTCCCACTCGATACAGTAGCTAACGATGAAGCCTGGACAGTGACTACATCCTGTGCCAACCACTCCACGGACTCCAACAGCTGTCACTTCAGTTTAACTGGTGACCTGCTTTCAAAGCGTAGAAAATAGGGTTCCTCTCCTGGAAGACCAGTGTTCTCACTGTGCTCTGCAACAGCACTCCTATTTCATGGCAACACTAAAAAGCATGCACACACACAATGTAGCAGAGAAGATGACCGAGCCTTTGATGCTAAGGGCCTTTGGTATTGATTTGTGTACCCTGCTAGCCCTCCTTTCCCAGTCCTGCTTAAGTCGTTAAAGCTACAGCTGTACTGGCATAACGAGCCTACTTAGAGAAGCCAGCGCCCCACTCTTTTGTAAGCTTAACCTACGGCTCAGATATGTTTTGGTTTTACTACCTTTGTATTCTTCCCTGGGATGACCAGCCACAGCTCAGAGCCTCTATAGCCTGGATTTCTATTCCACTTTAGTTTTCTGCACAACCTAGAGTTTGAATTGGCAGCATGATGAGCTGTCTGGGATTATTCAGTGTTTGCCATTTCAGTTCTTAGCTTGCCCACCCAAGTCACATAGGGACAGAAATCAGACTTTTTTTTTCCTTATGAAGGAAGAGTCAAACAGTTTTCATGCCTCTTGACACCTGCACATAACACTCTGAAAGACCATTAGCAAAATAATTGGAGAACAAAAATAGCTCAAATTTTAACTTCCCAAAATATCACAAAGGCCATATTTGGTAGGGGCTTACAGAGAGGGCCTGTCTTTTCTGGCATGACGAAGGGGAAGGATGTTCCTGTTGGAATAATTCTGTTAATGCTACTGGCATTTTATTGCTACTATCTGTTGGTACATCAAAGCTGTGGATAGGTAGCTTTAAAAATAATCCTTAATACCTACCTTCAGCTCCAGCGATCTTGCTTGTCTTACACTGGGTTTGAAGGAAGGCTTAGATTCTTTCATAAACAGATGCAGCTCTACCAAGTCAGGGAGCATTATAATTGCTTATATTTAGCTTTGTAAAGACTGGAGATAGCATGGTTTAAGTTACGAGGTTGGATCAGTTTTCCACACTTGCACTCACACTTTTTACACTGTTCCTAGTCTGTTTAAATGCAAGTTAGCTGCGGCATTACTTGCATTTTATATGGAGGAGAGCAAGGTCTCCCTGAGACCATAAAAAAAATGACGATGTAAGAAAAAATAGGCCTAATGCTTTTCCTGCTCTGCCCCCTTCTTCAGGCCCTGCAAGGCAGTTGGGGAATGCCAGGCTTCACACCATTTATTTCTGCGCAGACCCAATCCCGCGTTGGCCTTGGGAGCTGTCACTTAGTTCAGGCTGCATTTGATAGGACTCAAACATTCCCAGTTTTGGAAAACTTCCATTCCAGCCACTTGGCCCTGTACCTGTCTCAGGTTTCTATATCAAGGAGTTGAGCTAGTTCCACTTCAAAGTCTCTGTTTATTTATATCTTTTTAATACTGAGCCATAAATAGTGCCAAGCACTGACACCTCCCAAAATTGTGCTCCTGGGTCAAACAAATGTCTCACACGAAGAAGAGGAGAAGAGCTCATGTTCACTTAACTCCTCGAGTGCTATGGCCAAAGGTCTTGAATTTAGAGTTGGAAAAGATGGGTGATAGCAAATTTACAGCAAAGGGAAGAAACAATAGTGACTTGAGTGATCATGTTTGATACCCTGATCTGATTTGGACAGAACATTCTTATGTAACCAAGCTTAAACCCTGCATTTAGTCTTACTCTTGCTCTGTTTCCCATTTGTAGAATGTGAACTGTTCACATCACTTTACCTTACTGGGGGCAGGAGAAGCAAGGATAAATTCAACAAGGGATGCAACAATGTGTTAGGGGGTATATGAGTAGTGTGGAAGGAGAAGTTCTGGCAGAGATACCACCTTTGTCCAGGCTGCTTTCTTACAAAACAAGTGAGTTCAAGAAAACTAGATAGCCCCTGGTCCTGCTGAGGGCACAGACAATCTATCTAGACCCTAGATTCCCCAGTGCCAAGAGCTGCAATGACAGCAGCATGCTCTTTTTTCCCCCCCCAGATTAGCAAGACCAGCTGGGACAGAACTGCAAGTAAGAGGAGGAATAACAAAGCAGTAAGTATAATTATTCCTTTGCTTCTTGATACTCAGAAGAAAACCTATTTTAGCCATGTCTGGAGGAGCCCCTGACTTATGCTTGGGGTTCATAGGACTGAAGTTAGGACTGAATACTTTTTTAAAAAAATAGGGGAGGACCCAAACAAAATGCAGTGTGCAATGTAACAGCAGCACCTCACCTAGAGCTGCAGTGCTGAACATGGCATCACATTGAAACCAGCTGGTTTTAAATGGATTCTGGTACAGCGTGAGCTTACTCTCACTCAAAGCCTCTCCCGTGCTATGCAAAAACTGCAGCCACGCTGGGGTGTGGGGTGCCTGCTCTCTCCCTCCCATGAGGGAGACTCCAGGGCCTTCAGCCTCACTGAAAAACAAGGGGCACACAGCAGAGTACTTTAAAATGGCTGGTACTTCTCCCTATAGACTTACTGCCCTCCCGTGGCTGCCAAGAAGCATCTCTAATGCAGGAACAGGGAGACCAGACACGTAGGGAAACAATAAAGAAAAATAGTCATATATTCAATTTAAACCAAAATGCAATTTGAGTTACAAGGAAGAGGAAGGCAAACACACTGTGTGGATTAACTGGAAGTACCTAGGAAGGCAAGAACAGAACAGAGAAATTTACTGGTTTGGGAGTAGGAGGGAGACATCCAAATACTTCATTTTGCAAGGATAATGGACCCTGAGGTGTTCTTCACCAGAGTTGCATCAGTGAGTGCCATTTGCTCAGAGAGATAGTCCACCTGACTTCATCCAGTTGCCCCATGGGGGACACTTCACTAGCAACTGGTGCAAAGAAGGTATGGGGGACCAAACCACTGCTCCTTTTCCTGACTGTGGTAGCCATGTGCTGTGACCTTGCTGTATCTACCAGCCCTTTTTGGCCCAGCTTCAGCAGTGTTTAGAAGGCTCTTGCTGAGACACCTCATATTGCAAACGTGTCCTTTTCTCTCTGTGAACCAGGAGACAACATTTCTAGCACAGACTGACTCCTTTCTGAGGGGACTCCCTTAAAATCCTGAAGTCAGGTGTTAGGAATGAGACCTTGAGTATCCAGTGAGAGCTGCTGTGGGAATACTGCATGGTTCTGCAAAGGGTGTCCTGTTTCTTGTACTTTCTTTGTGACTGTGCTGCTTCTTGTGCACTCTGCAGGCAGAATGCATCTGCTGTCTTTTGGTACGCAGTAGACACTTTATAAACAAAACAATCCTGGAACAGTTGAAGCCAAAAGAAACAGTGAAGTGGCAAGAGGAAACACAGCAGTAAGCACGAGCAACAACTGCATGGGCAGAAGGCAACAAGGCCAAATTGTTGAATTGCACATGCTTCTACCAAAGGCGCTAAATGCTGCAAGCAGGCTGCATATCTCCCACCAGTGAACAGCTTGGGTTTGCATTAGGCAGGTTTACCACTGCATTTTTGTTTGTGGACTTAGATTCAGTCTTACATGTTAGAGACTGGTGTATGCCCAAGCCACATCTGAGACTAGATGGAATGAGACATACATTTTAGTTTGGAGAGGAGGGGTGGGAGTGATAGGGATCAGGTAGGTAAAACACCAATGCGTGGCACCTCCCATAGGACTTCAGGCTGTTGAGTGACACCTGCATCAAGATGGGTGTCACCCCAGCCTACCTGACAGCTGTGCATCAGTGGGAGTATTAGGATTTCTTGAGGGTGAAGGAGACAGCAGTTCAGCAGAGCATGCAGCAAGCTGAAATCTGTGAATGAACACAATAGATAAATGCTTTGCTCACTCGAGTTGCCAGGTCACTGAGTATCTCATGTAGTAGCCAACTAGGGAGTAGAGTAAATCCTGCCCTCTCCATTTTCACATCCTGGGCCATGCTGCACAATGTTAACATCATGAACAAAACTTCACTTTATACACAGGTGACAGTGTCCAATAAGATGAGAAATCACTCAATAGAATTTTAAAACTTGTGTGTATATACACACATAGTGAATATATATATATATTTCTAGTAAATACATATGAACTTTTACACAACTAAAACCACTCCAGTATATACATGATATACTCCTGTCACTCACCAGGACAATACATTTTGTTGCACTGACAGAATCTGTTGCTAAGTTACCTTTTAAATTACAATTTTAAGTTATGCAGAATTGCTCAGTGAAAGGCCAGTCTTTGGCAAGCACAAATATGCAGAAAACCACCAGCTGCAGTAGTGATCCTTCAGTATTTGAAGGTACCCCCCCCAGTTTCCTTCAAATGTCAACTCTGCTTTCACAGAAATAAATGGTTTCTAACAATGTGCTACAACCCTGTTAAGCCAAGCAGGATTTTTCTTCTAGTACATATAAATATTTCACATCCTGTCTACACATGCAATACACTAAGTAAAATCATGTTTGCAGATGACTGTATTATGATTTGGCCCCATAACTGTTTTAGTTAAGAAAAAAAAAAAAATCCCAAACAAGACAACAAACAGAAAAATGAACTCTCACATAGACATTAAAAATCAGCAGACAGAGCTCTAGTGATTTAGATTTCCAAAGAAAATACCTTTTAGTCTGCAGCTGTTAAGTTGAAGCACTGCAAATATAAGAAATGAGGACAGAAAACTAAAAGAGCAAGAATTACTTACTTGTCCCAGCTGAGACACACACAACGCTCAAAAACCCTTACGTGCTTTTTAAAAATTTGTTTAAATCACCTGTGTGATGTCCTTATTAAATATCAAAGTAGATTAGCTTGAACAAGTCTATTGGAAAAAGCACTACCTTAAAAATTCGTAGTTCAAAGCCTTATCTGAAAAGTATTTTCAGAGATTAAATTCTACATCTTTCAATGACATTGCATTATTCACAAAACCTTGCATAATGTTACATTTTGAAATACTGACACTGATCGGCTGTCAAAGAAAACAGAGCATGGTTGCATAATAGACACTCTAGACACTCAAGTAAAAAGAAAAAAAAAAAATCACAGAACTTGGCTATTTCTGAAAAACTGACTCTCAGAGTAGAAATAAAATTATTTTAAAAGGTGGAGAAAACAGTAAGGTTCAGACCTGTATTTTTTACTGGCAACAAGCACTGTGATTTTTTTTTTTAAATGAACTCACTTGACTGTATATAAATATTCCTAGCATTAATGATGCCCTATGTAGAGTAATGTAACAGCAGATTAAAGTTTTCACCCCCCTATTTTGATATAAACTATGACAGAGTCTTTCCAAAAGAGTCCCTTTGACAGTAAATAGCTATTTCAAAATTTGTAATAAAAAAATAATCTTTAAACAGTACCAAAAACTAGATAAGCCAAGTCTCAATCAGTGTAAGAGGACCTCTTCATAAATGGAAGGTAAATTCTCCTTTGGAGTAGTTATAACAATGCACAGAAATGAGACCAGAAATACACACAAGAAGTTACAGGTCTGATTTACTGGAGCTGCGCAGTAATTTCCACCTTATGGTAATTTGAGGATTGTAGTATAGACCCAGAAAAAGATTTCAAAAAAGATAAAACACTGGGAGGAGACAGGAAAAAGTATTTGCTTTCCCATGCTGAGAATCTGATGTGCTGGAGCAGGCAGCCCTGCCTTCATCAGCTGTTAGGTGCAGTGGTGGATGCACTCAGAACCAGAAGCCTGATGCTTAACCATCCCACCACTGACATCCCGTCTAGATCCATCATGGCTCCCTATGTCTAAGGTCAGAATAAATAGGCATTTGGGGCAATTTCAACAGAAGTTATATGCACAGAGGCCAGCTTATGAAGTTCAGCCTCACTTCTCTAATGCTCACGACCAGGTGTAATGCACTGCTCTGTTCTGTGCATCCTGACTGCTATGCTTTTCTAATTACAGGTACAATTTACTTGCACCGCATGTTTGCGCAATATTTCAGAAGTGTTAAGCGTTAGAAACTCTAGTGTACAGTTAAACTCGACTGCAATTCCAGGGCTAAAATACCTTAGCTTCTGGAAGCACAGATCAAACCCTTCACCTCCCCAGTATCCCATGCTACATACACGTTTCTGTGCTTGTAACAGCCAGTGTGCACATCAAATAACATCAAAGTAATGCTCTGACATCAGCAATGAGCCACGCTTTTCACCGGAGTCCAAGAGTCCTGTGAAAAATCTCAGTTCAACATGTAACTATTAGATTTTTAGTATGCATCATGTCACAGAGTTAGTGTTTTCCTTAGAAATATAGGGCACTAAGTGTAAAACTTTATGACTTATTCCAAAACAGTGTACCACACTTCACAGCAAAGCTTTAAAAAGAATCCTCCAACTCCCACTTCTTCTAAATATACAGCTGGTGGGAGGCCAGGGTGTCCATGAATGGTCGCACAAGGTTGTCTGTCGAGAAGTAAAAAACCAAGCCAAAGGTGATGGAGATGGGAAGAGCAGGCAGCGCTTTCTTAAAAACAGCCAGTAACAAAAGAGTTAAGCACAAACCCTGCCAGAGAGAATAAAAAACACAAGGAGATATAGTAAGAAGCCCAGAAAGATATGTCATCAACAACCTAATATACAAATAATAAGCTATACACACTGTATAACAATTGAAGCTACCAGTAGCATGAAGTACATGAGCCCACAGCTTCACCTTTCACACAGGTTGGCCAGGTATTTTCTTCAGCAATCTTGAGCACAGCTCTCTGCTGAGAGAGTGGTATAAACAACTAATGCTGACATACAGCTGACCCCGAGAGGTTAATTTATTTACAGATTATTTTACATTTTGTTCTACGCCATTATGGATGAGGTACTGATCCAGCAGATAAAAGCAAATATCCTGGTGAATGGCGCAGATAAGGAGTTTCACTGGAGGACTCTAATACACAGCAGCATGTACTTCCAACACCTTCCCAGTTTTCAAGGTGTCTTGGGGTAAAAAAAGAAAAAAAAAGTATCTACTGCTGTTCTTTTGACTGTATTACTTACTACGATAGGTGGATTCTGGTTTTATCTGGGTAGCAGGCCAAAATCTGTTTTTTGGAACATGTGTGAAAGCTTTTGCACATTTTGGGTAGACCATATGGCTAAGTGCATTTAGGTATGAATTCCTTCTCTTATCTGAGCTCTTTTTAACTCCTTTATGATGACAAAACTTCAGAGACAAAAAGTAGACTAAAATAAAAAAAATCCACTAATTGAAGATCAGCGGACAGGATTTTTTCAAGTAAAAAAAAATAAAAATCAGTGTTTCTAGACTGTAAATTTGATTACAATCCAACTGAGCCTGTAGCTCAGGGACCATATCTGGCCTACACCTGCTCCTTAGTTCACATCCGCATTTAAAGATGTGCTCACTGCTGGGACACTGCAGGGGTATTTTTGGGAACCAGAAAGCTACATAGCAGCAGGATTATGAAACTGCAAAAGGAGACAGAACAATCTTTAACAGCACTATAAAAGAAATGGCCTCATGGGCAGACAACAGAGAATATTTCTGCCAGTGAAGGGACCTTGTGCTGGACCCCAGGATATGGAGCTAGGTGATCCTAAAGGTCTTTCTGACCTGGGAGGTAGGAAAGCTACACACAACACACTAAGTTAGTTCATTTCTTGTTCTCATGCTTTTTGATCCATGATCTTCACAAGTGAAAGTCACTGTCTTTCAATATCCTTGGGATCTAAGGGGGGAAAGGGAGGCCCAAGAAGGACACAATAATTGATTTTCTCATGCCTCCTAAAAATCCTGCCATTGCCCTTCTGTTTCATTTCCATGAGGATGCTAATGTCAACAGCAAGTTCCTAGTTATTATTTTCTACCTAGGTGAAAGCTCAACAGTGTGCTGTCATTAGACGTGGCAGCACCAAGTCCTTTAGCAGTTACAGTATGATTGTCATTTGCTTTTACTGATCATTTTCATGGATTTTTAAGTCTCCTTCATTACTGTTTCTTCCATCTCAAACACCAGAACAAGACAGGTCTTCATCCTCTTAGCTAGCAGTTCTCCTTAGCATAAGGGAGTTAACCTTTTCAACTACACTTGCTAATCAATGTGGAGTTCCTAATATTGACTCGTGGCCAACAGAAGTCCCCAATCTTTCAACACTGAAGCAAACACACTAACAGTTCAGCTATAATTGTTTTCCCTGGGGCTGTTTCACCCAGACCATCTCCACGCTTGGCTCTGCTCCGATGAGTCCATACAATTCAGCTTCGGTGGCTGTTTAAAGCCTGTCTTTAATGGACAGAGTCCTGGCTGGTTCCTCCTAAATACCCAGCACATTACCTGCAGTGATTTAACAGTGCTCAGCTGCTGGTACTTCTGGCAACGCTGCTGTGATAAACAAGGTATAACAGAATTTTTTAAAACTTGCTCACTTACTATGAGAATGGCTACAAAGCAGGCCAGTGTAGTATTCCAGTCTCCACTAGCTGTGGCAGCTGCTTTCCCAACAAGCACACTGTAAAATATGAAGTCTCCAAGGCCCAGCTTCACACCCCCTGAGAGGAACAGAAAAAGAAAACAAGTATTAATTCTGCTCTTCCCAGAGCAGATTCTGCAGCAGCAAGTAATACACAGTCAGACTCAAGATCTCTGTTGCTCAGCAAGTCACAACTCTTCAAATTAACTGTGATTAGACCGAACTGGATAGTGTTAACCACTGAGTAAAAACATCAGGCTCTGACTACACTGAAAGCAAGTTATAAAGCTTTCCTTACTTTCCTCCTCCTCGAGCTCTTCTAAAGAAGTGGTAGGGCGGGTTGGAACAGGACTCCTCGTCTCCGACATCTGAGAATCTGCATGTGAAGGGCTTCTGTGGTTCTCTCTCTCATCCTCAGCTTGGTTCCACAAAAATAGGCCAAGAGCAGACAATAAAAAAAAAAAAAAAAAAAAAAAACCACAGGAGGTAGCTACATTTATAACTTGTTTTAATGCATGAAAGCCACCCTTCTGTGAAGCTTCCCTGGAATGGGTAAGCCCTTTGTTTCCTGGAGATGTGATCATCAGGAGCAGTTCAAGCAAAGGCATTTAGTGGCTTTGAGGAAAACATGTGTGTTGTTATTTGAAAGAGTCAGAAGGGTACATGTTCACAGCTCCTTTGACAGCTACCCAGTTCAGTGGCTTTAACAGGTGAGTACATACGCAGAACTAAGCATTGCTCTGCACAGACTAAAATGACAAGCAAACCCAAGTAAAGTTAATATGCATTCCCACATTGTTATATCTTTGGGGTGGAGGTACTCAGGTATTCCCTAACTGGTCATATGACAAAAATGGATGACTAAGAAGACTGCCATTTACGAGAAAAGTTCTGCCCTGAATTGCATTGACATTGGAGCTGAGCGTTCACATGTAGAAAGTGGACACATTTCATTGGCCACAGATTTAAATTTCTTTTCTCCCCTGTTAAACACATCTAACATAGCCCTTAATAGTTATTTTGGAAACAGCCAGCCTGCAATATATTACTCTGTCTGACAGTTCCTATTTTTCAGCAGCACTCATAGACTTTCCAGTCCACATCAGTCTGACAGGATGCCACTGCTGCAGATACAAGCAGACTGTGGTCTGAGACACACACAGCTGCCACAGAGGCATTCTGTACATCTCAGCATGTAGTTTGAGCCTGCTCTGTGCCCAGTTACAAAGCAGGATTGAGTCCCCGCGGTTTGTTAGTATGTCAGCTGCTTTATCCTGAGATGAGCAGCATGTTCAGTTATCAAACCTTAGCATATTTATTACTTTAACCTAAAAAGGTACTGTCATCTCTGAAGTACACAGGACCAAGTGGGAAATCCTCCCAAAACCACAAGTCAGATTTTATTCAATCACCTCAACACTGCATGTTTAACTTGCATTCCAAGCAGATAAAAATCAAAGGCACACAAATTACCACAGGACCAGCTAGAATGTAAACTTGGAACACATCAGCTACCATTGGGTAACTGCCCAAACATAAGCCTTTGCCCAAGCGTAAATGAAGACACATGCATTTTCTTTGGCAGGGTAAGCCATATTGCACTTACTGCTAGGTAAAAGCATGTCTGCTCCACAGAAGTGGTCTCCAGTGTGTTGCAGCACATTGCATTAAGTTTACCAGCTCATCGGCATTATATTTGAATATGAGCCAGCAGTGTGCGCTCACAACCCAGAAAGCCAACCGTACCCTGGGCTGTATCAAGAGAAGTGTGGCCAGCAGGTCGAGGGAGGGGATTCTCCCCCTCTACTCCACCCTCAAGACTCCACCTGCAGTGCTGCATTCAGTTCTGGGGCACCCAATATAAGAAGGGCATGGACCTGGTTGAGCCGGTCCATAGGAGGCCACAAAGATGATCAGGGGGCTGAAGCAACTCCCCTGTGAGGCCAGGCTGAGAGAGTTGGGGTTGTTCAGCCTGGAGAAGAGAAGGCTCTGGGGAAACCTCATAGCAGCATTCCAGTACTTAAAGGGGGCTACAGGAAAGGTGGGGAGGGACTCTATCAGGGACTGTAGGGATAGGATGAGGGGTAGCAGTTTTAAACTGAAAGAGGGTAGATCTAGATTAGATATGGGGAATAAATTCTTTACTGTGAGGGTGGTGAGACACTGGCCCAGGGTGCCCAGAGCAGCTGTGGCTGCCCCTTCCCTGGAAGGGTTCAGGGCCAGGTTGGACGGGGCTTGGAGCAACCTGGGCTGGTGGAAGGTGTCCCTGCCCGTGGCAGGGGGGCTGGAACTAGATGGTCTTTAAGGTCCCTTCCAACACAAACCATTCTATGATTCTATGATATTTACGAACCTATGTTGTAATTTACCATCCCCAGCTAGTAAAACTATAAAACCCCACTAACCCACTTTCAGCTTTGACTTCAGTACACCTGAAGATGTGTGTTGAACAACACTCCTGTTTGGTTTTTTGTTTGGTTGTTTTTTAAATAAAAGCAGCCTGAATACTAGAGCTTCCTACATTGTCTGTTCATCTTTGCCAGTCCTAACAGCAGGTTTCAGAACATCACCAAGTTCTGCAACTAATGTAACAACACTGAAAAAAATTAATCCATTAGGATTCAGGGGCTTACATTCACTTGCAGTCTCAAACATACACATTATTTCCATGGGACAGTGGTCTGTATAGAAGAATGACATGCGAGCAAACCTGCATCCCACATCTGCTGTCTTGGTCCCCTTGCTGCTGTGTCTGGCTTTGCCATTCCAACTGTCCACATCATAGCAGCTAGAAGAAAGAGAGAAAGTGATCAGCTGCATAAAACATTGGTCACTGTAGCTCAGGGGAACTAAGTATTTAGCTGTTCCTAAAAATACAACCCTTTGCCCCTCTAAATGCTTTTAAAACACTCACTCTTAGTTGGTTTCCCTGAGCACTTAGGAGAGAAGGCGGAAGAAAATTAAAGCATCCATTCAGTTTTTAAGAAGGTCCCAGAACACAAATAGCTAAGAGTCAGTATAGGCTTCTCTGTAGACTAAAGCAAGCAAAAATCCAGAATTCAGGTCATCTACTTTGTTTTCTTCATAGTTTCTGGCTCTTCAAAGAAAATAATTGCCCAGGAAATGATGGTAGTACAAAAGCTAACCAGAGGCTAACTTAAACACCTTACTCCTCCTGTTCTGCTAAAAGCACACACATGAGGAATATGCAGGAGTTGTTAGAGTGATAGTTTTCTCTCTGCCTATTTGTTTTGATTCCTTCCTGTCAAAATATTGGCTATTGCTGTTTAAGTTCCAAGAACAACTGAAGGATGTTTGGGGATTTATTCTTGAGATGGATCTCTAAATTAAAAAGGAATACAAACCATTCTGAAATCAGTGGAATAGAACTCAAAATCAGCTATTTATTTAAGTGTGCATCAGTCTTCCTGTTTTTCTAGAAGCTAAACTAAACAAAATAAGCCAAGGCAAACACAGTGCCTGCTTTTCCACTACAAACTCAGCCAAGGTGATGTTTTTCCATCTAGAGGGAGCCACAGAATGTGGTCTTGCAATGGAGACACTGATGTTCGGCACAAGAACTTTTTGTTCAGTATTTATTATTTGTTGAATTGCATTCTCCTTTAGATAAACTCTGTTAACCAAAACATGCAGGAGACTTCATTTAGATTGTCTCAGGTCAGTATAACAGAATCTCCAGTAAAAAGGAGGTCAGCTGAAGCAAACAGAAGCTCTGCTTGGAACATATAAAAGCATTTATATAACATTAAATGTTGGGGGGAAAAAAAAAAAAAAAGAAAAAAAATCAATCAGGTTGTAGGCATGTTCAACTTAGCACCCAACATTTGGAAATACCCATTCATCTTACAAGCGATGTAATGAAAAAGTCACTGAGGTCCATGAAGCACTTGAGTCCAGGTCCTGTGAGCATTGAGTTGCCTGCCTTCCAGCTGTCTTAATCTTAAGCATATACATACACCTTTGTGGATAAGGGCACCAGACACCATTACAGTTAAACAGCCCAAAAAAGCCAGGGAAGAGACAACTGATTCTGTTTGCTGGGCAATGCTTGAATAGAGCACTTTACAAAGCAAGCAGCCACACAATGAACAATGAAGCAAATCTATTCTAAGCCTTGCCATCCATACAATGCACAGAGCAAAAGCGGGCTACAGGAAGAATGGAACCTCATTACACATTTAAATTGTGTCTATAAAGTGTATGCATAAAGAGTAAGTCTATTGAGTGAGCATCATCTAATCACAGAACTTTGCAAACACTACTGTTAACCTAATACAAGTTTTTGTATGCAGAACAGAGGGGCATGTTCTGCACTGTATTTACAAAAGGATAAATCTACTTTTGAACATTTCAGCTTCACAAGGCAAATGTGGGCTCCCTTTGGCTAATTAGAGTTGGCACCACTGTGACTGATAAACAAGGCCTTCTACAAATGGTCTGTTCTAGAACATAAATGCACACCAATCTTGGGGCAAAGCAGTAACTAAAACAGTGCTCTTTGGTTTGACACAGAAATAGGTTGTGAGTTTAATCTGGCTAAAAACGTTAACATTCTAATTTTACTCACAGGAATATATTAATGCAGGAAAAATGGGCTCATTTCTCTCCTGTGCAGTTTCTACCAGCATTCTCAGTGGCCCCTTGGGACAGAGAACAGCCATCAGATCTGCAAAGAGAAAAGGGCCAGACAATCTCACGTCAAGCTATTATGTGCATTTTACATTCTTTATCTTTAAAAAGCTATTCTCCCCTCAAGATTACATCTTTCAATATTAACTGAATGATTTCCTGAACAGCAGTTTCTGCCACTTTGCATAACTCTAGCTGTTCTAATCCTTGAAGGTGCTGTTCACTTAAAATACCGTCCCCAAGACTTAATGTAATAATAAAGAGTTTTCATTGTGCTAATCCTATAAAAAGCCTCTTGAGAACACCACATTATTTCTTTGAAAATAGAAGACAGCATTACATCGAGGTCTTAAATTTGAGAATGACTGGTGGTATTTTGTTCACATTCTACAATCCACTGCTCTGTGTTTCACATGAATGAAGGCCTTTGGTCCAGTTCCTCTTCGCCTACCCTCTCTCCTCCATTAGAGCTCCTCACCAATCTGAATGTTACCCCCCCAGCTGCCTCTTGTTCTGCAGGTTCTCTTGAAACTTGTAACTCATACCAAAATCCATAATCTCCTGATAATTATAAACGAAACCGGCAAGACTATCAGGTTGCTACTGATAAAAATCCAACCACCCCTACCATGCAGTTAGGTGCGGTTCAGTACTTCCCTGACTTGGTATTCCACTTTGAAAGACATGGTAGGACTACAGTACCTACACGAACAAGTTGGCAAGAGACAAGTCAGGGAATCATCTTAATTGCCCATCTGCCTCTTTCTCAAGCTGTTAGCACCATAAAGTTGGTTTTTGAATGACATAAACAGTCCTGAGGTTGCCTCAGAATAACCTCTCCATGAACCACACCTTGAGAATCACAACCCAGACTTACCATAGATGGAGATTGCACCTAGAATCACCCATGCTGACCACTCGGGTAGATATTTAATGAAAACCAGTGCCATTAGAGCACTGATCATAATGAGATATGCTTGCTGGAGCTGCAAGGGACCTTTCCAGTGGATGCAAATCATTCCAACAGCTCCAAAATTCCAGATGACTAAGAACAGAGTGGGGTAATCCATGGCCACGTTGTACGTCTTCAATACTTCACTGGAATACAAGAAAATTCAGCTAAGCAGTAAAAGCAACTGACACACAAAGCATCCTACTAGCCATAGTTAAACAAAAAGGCCTCCTACTACACCAGGAGGAAGCAGGACAGAAGCAGCTCTCATCATGGAAGGGGAACCTGCCTTGTAGCTAACTGCTGCTCTTAGCTCTCTGTTCCTCCTGCAGGAGATGGACGTGCTGCATGTGCAGTCACTCCACTGCCTCGGTTCTGAGGTCAACAGTGATTCCAAGGGTTTGAGCAGGCAGAATTTCAAGTCTTAACTGAACATAGGCCTGTGGCTACATGACTGTCTGCAGCAAAGAAGTCATGTACAAGTCATCCCACCAGATGCATGATGGTTACAATTAAAAATGAAAAGTTTTAACAAGTATCACCTGCAAGTTAAAAGCTTGGTTCTACCTGAGTTGGGAGCTAAGGGAATGAGCTTGAAACAGTGTAGTCTGTCAAAAAGGCAAGACAAATCAAGAGAAACAACTCAGCACAAGTTCCTTTCCACTTGCTCCTCATTGTGTAATTCAGGGCCTCTGTACCACAAGGTTCAGCCTGTTCATTTCATGCTCACAGTATCACTTTGCAGTGATTTTTGTAGAGTAGGCCCTGTAAAATCACGCATTGCCTATTGAACACCTCATTTTATATTTTTTAAAAAAAAGAAAGCTATCTCATTCTAACAGTTGTTAAACCTCTGTCTGGAGAAGGGGAGACCTTTCTGTCCTTGTTCAAGTTGGAGATTTTCTGCAAAGAGGTGAAGGAGCCCTGAACTGCCAGGTTAACCTGCACCATTCCCACTTACCCAAGGTATATGTAGGTAAAGAGGAAGAGCAGCATCAAAGAGGACAGGATCAGCCAGCCATGGATGAACTATCAAAGGCAATAAGAGACAGTGATTGAAGAGGCTGTTACCCCTTGTGCAGGTCACAGTGCTGCATAAACTATTGACAGAGCTTCCTATTGTCCAATAGTCTCCTGCACTCCTCCTCCAGTTTCCAAAGACACTGCCTTCCCCACTGCCAGTGAGGAAGGAGGGACAGCCAGTTGCTCCAGGTTATTCCAAACTCTTTCATTTTTTATTCTATGCCTTCGTGTTTGTTTTGGGTTATTTTTGTTGTTGTTGTTTTGTTTGGTTGGTTTTTTAAGTCTCTTCCCTATCCATTTCCATGGGTATCCATACTGGCTTCTAGCTTAGGCAGGTAAACACATTCTCTCTGCCTGGGGGGAGGAGTTTGCCCAAGGCCGTACAATAAATCCATCTCAGGGCCAAGTCTGAAGAGCAGCAATGGCCAATGCTCAAATGCTAAGCCAGTACCACATATAACAACTCCATGGGCACCACAAAACCTGAATATGCCTTTCCCTCCAGGCCTTGTCCCTTTCCACCAGAGCCTTCACAGGTTGGAAGAATGCCAGTTCCCACAAAGCTTGCCTGAAACTTCTTAAGAAAAGGCATTTGCAGTAAATGGTACAACTTAGTCCATACATGGAAACAGCAAGACTTTTTGATCAGATGGAGAAGACTCAGACCTGACTAACAAAGGAGCAGGCCTCATTTTTAAGAGCCTACCATTAGTGACAAAATAACAGCAAAGCACATTCAGGGGCACAGCTCTACCACCACTGACAAAGGCTTCTGTGCAATGTGATTCTTGCTGTGACTAAGATGTGAACTAGCCAGTGCAGCACCTGTATTTCTCACTGACACACAAGCCCCACTTGAACTCAAGTTCACAGCATATAAGTGGAAGAGGCTCTGACATGAATGCTTTACCTTGTAGCAGCGATATTTATAGAGCAGAACTAGGAACACAGTCATTACAACAATAACGCTGATCATTATGATGGTGTTCAACACTGAGTTCAAGAGACGCTGGCCCACAGATGGAGTATCCTCACTGAAAGGGGTGTAGATCCTGCAGTATAAAGCAAAAGCAATATAAAGTATATATATTCTCTTCTAACTAACTGCCCCAAGATAAAACCAGACCTCGCTGTGTGGGAGAAAAAGAGGTATGGCTGCCAAGGACAGCAAACATGAGATGTAGCCTCTGAAGGGGCTGGGCTCCAGTTAATTATCAACCAAAGATTAGTGCTATCAAAACCACATTCCTACAGAGCAGCTGTGGCTGGCAGAGCTCTAAACAAAAAGACCTAGAATATAAATGACTTTATTTAACTTAGTAGCTTCTCTCTGGGTCACAAATTTTTATCGCATGTTCTGGATCCTCTCCATGATAATTATAAGGATACATCCCAGGTACTGTCCTGAAATGGGGGGACCCTTTCTTTCCACGCTTGGTAGGAGAATCTTAGACTCTTTTATCCTCTCTCATCACCCTGCACCCCCATTTTGTTTCCTTTGGTTCAGTTCAAGGGACCGCAGTCCCCGTTTCTCCACCCAGCAGGAGAAGCACAGTTAGAGCCCCAGGGGTGTTCTCAGGCAGTGTCAGCAAAAGCTGGATGGAATTACGTATCCTCACCATGAGTCTTCAGGAATGAGAAATGTCATCAGGAAATGAGACACTCATCCAAATGAACATGCTATTCCCTGACTGCTGCCAGCTAGTGAGTGAACAGACTAGGAGTTCAGCGTGGGCCTTTTATGCTGCAGTATGAGCAACTTCATAATTACACTGCTCACGGACTTCGCCTAAGGCACCCTAATGACAGTGCTAACGAGTCGGTATAACACAGGTATGGAAAAACTTACACAGATGAACATAGCATACTTTAGTAAGATCTTGGTATGTTTACATAGCCACCTTCAGCTGTGCAAATGTTCTCCCAACCTGCCAAGGAAGCACTCTGTACAGCCCCACGTGTGTGGAACATATGTGTAAATCTAGGGATCCCAGGTACTCAGAGGCTGTTTTGAAGACCCCACTTACAGCTGCCCGTTTTTCTCCGTATAGAAGCGCACTGACTTTATGGTGGCGACGACAACAATCATACAAAGGGTGACAGGCACAAAGAGCATGATTACATGCTTTGCTCCATATTTCAGAGTCAGTTCCTCCTCTTCATTTTCCAAGGCGCTTTCTCTCACTGGAACACCCGAGTCAGACATTTCCCCATCAGCAATACTGTTAGGGCTACGGTTGCTACCTGTTCGCCTCTTCTGAAAAGAAATATTAGCAAATATATAAGACACTTTTTAGTTTGTGTTCAAAGCTTTATTCCATCGTATCTCATGAGGCTGCTGCAGGCCACCACAGCATACCAACTTGCTCCTAATAGAAAGGTACCAACAGTACAATTAGAAATGCCATTGCAAGCAGGCTGCAGTGGAGTTTTTAAACCAAAACCATGGATATCTAGGGGCCTCTTCAAGTGCACATATATAGATGGACACGTGCACATGAAGGGCAAGATGCCCAGAACTGAGATAGAAGAAGTGACATCCAAGGTGACATAAGCTTGACCACTTCCTCTCCCCACAGAAATGCTGTGCTTGCTTTACCCTGCTGCTTCACTGGCGGCAGGACTAGATTCTGTTCTAACATTTGCTGCATTTGACCAGAGGAGACAAAGGGTTTCTGGCAAAACAAGGCTGAAAAGGATATCCTGCAAGTCATATGTGCATCAGATCCTGATTAAAAGCCTGTATCTTTACCAAAAGGAAGGAAATGGGAGGAGTACATACGGAAATAAAAAGGGGAAAAAAGTCACAGTGGAGGAAAGGGGAACAGGCACTGCTGCTGCTGGCTGAGAGCGACACCAGAGAAACAATACTGGCCAAAGCTAATCCTAGAAACCAGTCTGTTGGGTGGGATTGAGGGCTAGCAGGACTACATCTATCATCACACCCCACTGCTTCACTCCCCAGGGAAGGACACACACCTACCCTACGTGCCTGCGCTTCCCCTGCTTCTGAGGCTTGCAGGCCATCCTGGTAGGAGGGTACTGGAGGGCTCTCTGCAGACATCAGGGATGTTCTCTCATTGCAGGGCTCCTCCTCGCTGTCCGAGTTGTTCATGAACGTGATCATCATTGCCTTCCTAGGGAGCACTCAGGAAGGGCACAGCACCATGCAAGGCTGAGGGGACAAGCACAACAAAAGGAAAGAACAGTGAACACAGCAGTACAAATAACTGGAAGTCTGAAGAAGAGGCACAATTTCAGTAGGGAGGATACAGCATGCTAGGTAACTCCATCTCCTTCAAACAGCTGATTTAGCCTTCTGTCACCCCAGGCATGACAATCCATTCAGTTAAAAAAAAAAAATCACTGTGACTTTTGCAGTCAGGGAGAACAGCAAAATGCAGCACTGAAGCAATTTAATTCTCTTCCTTTGACACAGCTTTCACTGTCGCTGCTTCTATTTTCTGTCTCTCATTAGTACACCTTGACTTTCACAAAGGAGGTTTCTTAGTGTTTGTTTTGCACGGGCCAAACAAAGCTTAAACTCAAATGTTGGCTGCCTGCTAGAAAGCTGACAGCTCAGCTCTTACAAAACACTCCTGCAAGCATCAGCAGGTAGCAGAAGTTTCTTAGTAACCTGGAGCCTCGACTTTACATAAGCCACTAACCAGGAGTTACACGTTGCCTTCCCTGTTACGACTGTTTATTAACCAGATGAATTTTATAAGCAGTTCTTCTCTCTGCCTGTGGACAAGGGGAGGTTTGTGTAGAAAGGGAAAGACCTGTTTCCTTAGGCGAGACACTTTTTTTTTTTTTCCCCCCTTTATGTTCCCTTGTGATTACAATCAAAACTACTTGGATGGGCAAAACCTTGGGAGTATGAAAGTGGGGACTAGAAATGTTTGTTCTCTTCCCACCTACTGCTATGCAGAAAAGCAAACAAAGCAGTTGCACGGTGCAGAAAGGAAAGGAACAGCTCTTTTTTTCTAGACACCAAAGAAAGGGGGTACACTGCCCTGAATACTGCAGAACAGCCTTAAAGCCAGGATTTCAAGAAGCTGTAAAGGCAGGTAATAGGAAAATTCCTTTTAGCATTTATTAAGTCAGCTTAACGAAGTAAAACAGAGTAAATAAGGATAATTCAGTCACTTTCTGATTCTCAGTCACCTGTCCATAAGCAAAACCAGACCTCTAATGCCTTGTAAAGCTGCGATATCTACAAGAACACCTCTCCTCTGCAGTATTTTACCCAAGCCCGTGTGTCTCAGGAAATATATCCAACTCGGAAGGGGAAGCTGAAGAAGCCATGCGACTCAGACGCAGCCACCTAAATATGAATCATGCATTCACAGTCCAACCAGTACACTACACTGTCTACCAGCCAGCTTTAGAGGTCAGAGTGGATACTCTGAAAATCTGTGAGATAGTCTTGCTTCTCACTACAGAAATTGAAATTCACTTTGGAGAAAGGAAAGAGGGAAGAGTGGGAGATGCCCCTTTCTTTCACAACCTCCTCAACACATCTGGCACCTTCAAGAAATTTTAGAGTCAGAACTCAATCTGTTCAAGTTAAACATTTTTCAGACATCTGCTCCTCCCCTGCTTTCTCTTCAAGCATTTTCATATCATTTTGTTCCCCTTTTAGTGATAAAAGTGGTACAGTTATGAGAAACAAGCGCAGGGGTAACGCTCAAGGCAGCCCTGGCAGCTTCACAGTAATACTGTGTTCTGAGTGAGCTGCCTAACACCTGCGTTTGTGTGCTTATTTTTTACAGAGTCCAAGATCTCCACTCCAGGTGCTTAACACACTCTTCCAACTGAGCATGTGAGGACTCACAATTTACAGCTGAGAGCCTAGATTCTGGCTCACATATAAGATTTAGGCCTTTAAAGAAGTCAGGTACATAAAGTCATTCAATCATGACATACTTCTGGATCTGTGAACAGGCTAAGTTAGGCATGCCATGGGATCTGTGACCCATGGAATTTAAATAACTCAAAACCTGCCCATGTCAGAGACCAGGGAAAAAAAAATAGAGATTTACTCTCTGATAGTTTGGGACCAATATTTAGGTATTAAAAACCCAATGAAAGTGTTAAAGAACTGTTTTCTCCATTTTAAGAAACTGCCACACAATTTTTGCTATATGAACAGAGCAAATCTCAGAGGATTTAGAATGGACAGACAATTAGCCTACTTTCAACACCCTAGTTAGGCCAAATGGAGGAATTAAACCAATAGCAAAATCACAGTGCTAATTACTAACCTCCATGATAACACAGAAAGAGAATCTCATGTTGTAATACAGACATTTTTAAGCTGGACATTTTCTGCTATTCTCCCTCAACAAGGATATGGTCAAGTGCAAAAATGCAACAATACTTTTGGTCAGCAAGCAGACTCAGACCTGAACACAGTTTTACTGGCCCTTGTTTACAAGGCTTTGGTTTTAGTGTGGTCTTACACAAACAAACCCCAACATATCCTGGATTTTACAGGAGCTCCTGTGGCAACCAGCCCTCAACAAATCCTCAGATGCTGTACTCACAGCTGCCTTAAACTGACTTAAATACATAGTCCTGTCCCACTACCCTGTCTCTCTGGTGCCAACACCAGGTGCTCATCAGCTGTCTAGCTCTTTTGAAAAGACAATAGGCACTTGTTTCATTTTGCTGTCACAGAGCCAGGTTCCAGCAGGACAGGCTCCCAGACTGGCTATGGGAGCAGCACCAGTGCCCACATGAGGAAAAGGGAATGCTGAGCCAGACCCCTTCCAGTAGCATCGAGCCTTACGGCGCCAAGCCCTCTGCTCACTCCCAGACAAGCAGCCCACCCTCACCTCAGGTCTGCAACACCTCTGGCAGCGGGGCTCTTTGACAGAGTTTGCAGAACCCAGCAGGGAGTTTGTCTAATGCCACTATTTATTCATCAGAGCTGCACTTTGATCTGGCACCAAGGCTGTGCTGGCTGCTGGAGAGAGCTTTGTTTTAGGCAGCCTGTCATCCAGAGGAAGAAGGACCAGCCTGGTCACTCGTACCCAGCACAGCAGCACACTTCGGGCTGAGCAGAGCTAAAGAAGAGAATGCTTCTGCCCTGAGAGAGCACATTAGGTCCCATTCAAAAATCATGCAATGTTTAAGAGCCAAGAGACCAAACTCTCAATGTATGGCAAAAATGAAAGGGGACAAAAACTAGGTCAGTAGTAAGTGCTTCTTGTAACAGAGCAGCTGAGAAGGGAATACAACTCCTACTTTACAACAGTCTTATGAAGCCTGTAGGAAAGCAGGAGTCACCATTTCTCTCTTTCTGAATGTCCTTCATGCAAGGGACCTCTTTCCTCAACTGCAATAAATTAGCTTTATGGATTTTGATGAAACTAGGCCAATTCAAACAAACATTAGGATCTTGCCTCAGTCGGCCTTCTAATTTCATGCTGCAGCATCACCATGCTGCAAACAAACCTAAATCCTTTACTTTGCATTTCATCCATCACAAATACCAGCACAATATACAGCACAAAACAGCTGCTTTAGGCTATCAGAATACTTAATAATCCACTTGAGAAGTAAAATTCCTAGTTATACATATTGTTCTCTTTGACGGCAATTAGATGAAGAGAATGAGTTTTTCTTTGCTATATTTAGATCAAGAGAAATCTTTGGGCTGACACTGACAGCTTGATGTTTTCCTAAGTTTCAGATGTAATAATCACTACTATTGGTAAATACAAAGAGAAAGAAAAAACTTTTAAGAAATATCTTAAGTGGTGGGGCCAAAATTAGGAGGAAAGATTTCCAGGTTCTTGCCAATAAAGCCAGTACTTGCATGCTGCTAAAATGACAGGGTACTGGGAACACTGCATCTCAGCACTCAAAAGAGAACTTGCAAATGCCATTTCCTTTCAGCCCCAGAATGCAAAAATAACAAAACACAAGATACTACGGGAAGTTGTAGAGATTTGTAGCCCTCCTCTTCCATCTTAGTGCACGCCAACGTAGCTGAACTAGCATTGCTTTCTTTTGCCCCACAAGAAAGGGACAACACATAGCCCCAAAGTTATTTTGCTAGCAGAGCCGAAATCAGACCCTCTCCAAGAGCGCCAGAAGGATTATTTTGCCAGCATTAAGCCCAAATACACTAGCAGCCAACTTCTCATAACTGCAAGAAGGCACCACAGCCCTGCAGACCTTCTTCCACCAGTAAAACCTCAAAGCCTGGGTCGGACTTCCCGCCCAGGAGCAGCTACTCATGTTGGCCCCAATGCTGCCAGGGGTGACACACCGGGGACACTCAAGGACACCCGTGTCAGGGCTGGGTTCCCGCATCCTCCCCGAGCGCGCAGGGGGCAGCCGGCCACGGGGGCACAGAGCCCCGGGTGCCCCCACGGCCCCTGGGGAGCCGCAGCCGGGCACACAGGTACGCACCGAGGCTGCGGGGCTGGGTCAGCTCCTCTGCCCGTCCAAGCGCACGGCCAGCCCGGCCACCCACACAGCGGCTGGCGGAGAGAGAGGGACAACAAACATTTAACAAAAAAAAAAGAAAGGAAGTGCAAGAAACTAACAGTCCTGCCAGACACAGACGTTGCAGGAGGCCAGAAGGAGACCTTGCACCCATGCAGGCGTTTTCCCCAGCTGCCCTCTCTGATGCTGAAAAGTCTGGTGTCCGCTAAGTTTCTGGCAGCGTTGCCAAATGAAATCCCGGATTGCTGGCAGAGTTGTCACCGCCCAGGAGAAATATATTCCTATTTTACACAGACGCATAAACACATACATAAACACATATATATACGTATATATAATACGCACATATACAAAAATATACGTATATGCACACACATATATACACCTTCCACCAGAACGGGCCGGCAAGGCTGCCGGACCTCCTTCCCCCCCCGCCTCTCTGCCGGGCCCAGGCGCGGAGCGGGGGGGGGCCTCGCACGGCTCCGGCAGCGCGGCGACCCCGAGCCCCCGCGCGAATGCCGACCGGCCAGGGCCGAATCCGGCCCGGTCCCATCGGGAGGGCGGCGGGGGCCCGGGGAAGGCGGCGGGGGCCCGGGGAGGGCGGCGGGGGCCCGGGGAGGGCGGCGGGGGCCCGGGGAGGGCGGCGAGAACCGCCGCCGCCGCTGTTTACCTGCTCCCGGCACGGCCCAGGCAGCTCTCCCGCTCCCATTGGCCCCGGCGCACTCCAGCCCCGACGCCGGCGACGGGGCGGGGCGAGAGAGCCTGCCGATTCGCCGTAACATCTGCCGCTCGGCGCATGTCCCCACCTACCAGCCATTCTCCTCCAATGGAAGAGAAAGGTGGGAAGAGGCGCGGCCAATAGCAAGGCGGCTCCCCCCCGCCCTTTCCCTCTGGCAGTGAGGCTACCCGTGCGGCGGCCGAGCCGCCATTGCGGGGTGGGTGTGGGGGGCGGCGGGGCCGAGCGGCAGCTGCGAAGGGGTTTTCCCCTCAGCAGCAGCAGCAGCAGCGAGGGAAGCCGGGGCCCTGTCCCGTGTGCTGCCGTTAAGTGGGCAGGCGCTGTGTGGGATCGCGAAGCGTACAGATAACGGGAGCGATCTGTCTGGTGAAGCAACGACAGCTTCCCTCAAGCCCAACGGCTGTACCCTTACAGCCGGACGCCGGTGAAAGTCAGCTTTAATTGCTTGAAAATGCCTGGCTTTACACCCTAACTCGCGTTTTTACAAACACTGTAAGTAACTGGGCCACTGGTGCTTTTAAGGCGTTTAAATGGTTATCAATGGCCTTAAGTGGGAAAGCTATGCGAGTGTGCAGATCCTGATTGAAATAAAAAGGTAAGGGGGAAGTGTGGAGGACGAAATACAGAAAACAGAGGAAATGACCAAAGAATGGTTCTATTGGAGACGCGCCTGACCTCTGCTCAGTTTATAGATCAGATGGGCCAATAAAGGAAAATTACAGACATTTTCGCATTATCTTCTACAGGTGTGAGAAGTTTGTATTTTCAGAGTGTAAGCCTTTTTGTTGAAAATAAAAAAATCTAGCATGATAGTAAGCAAGATAACCCTATAGATAGATGAAACTGTTTTTCAATCAGCACACAAACAGCTCCTGTGCCCCTGTTGCTCCCATTACTTTATCAAGCAACAGTTAAGTGAAATTAAGATTCTGGCAGGTCTGTAGCACTTGCTCATCATCTGTGGGGGCAGAGACATGAACTGGAGTCATGATAAATTCCTTCTGCTGCTGTTGTCACTTAGGTAGAATCTCAGGCGTAGACAGGGAATTTTGGCAGCAGAGTTTCACATTGCTCTTTGCTTCATGCCATCTCTGATGGTCTTGCATACAAAAGAAATAAAGGGTAAAATGGCAATGAAGGAGACACAAGGTACAATAAGTGAACTGCCCCTATATGTCATTGGACAAAATGGATTTTTTTTTTTTTCATATTCCAAATCTAAGCTGGCCATCAGATTCTTTTCCCCAAATTTCCTGCGCAATACTGGTGACAAGTGATACACCTCCCTTATACCTGTAATCCTCATTTTGAACCACTTTGCACACACAATTACGTTACATGTAAAATTCTTCAGAGCCCCAGAGAGCTGCCTATCAAAGCATAGCCAGCTGTCCTTTGCCAAGGTAAAGTCAGCCTAGGAAAATTGATAAACTGTGTGCTTGGCTGCGTTCTTCACTAGCAGAGTATCAGAGCTCTTTGTAATATGTTTCTCTCAAAGGCTGTGTCTATCTTTGGTCTTAGTGCTGAGCTGTTGAGTTCCTTTTCACTGGACATTTGATCCAGATGAAGGGTTTTTTTAAAATGGGAATTTCTCTGATGAACTGAATGCTTTGCACATTTTATGCTCAGTTGCTTGTCAAGTTTGTTTAATATTAGAAGGAGCAATTTCAGTTGCAGCCAGATTTTCCACAACTGACAGTAACTTTACATCCCTTTTATGTGAAGCTTATATACATGACACAAATTTGGGATAATAGTAAAAATATTTATGTGGTTTAAAACATTTTACAACTTCGAAGCCAAAGTATTAACAGTCTGAACTGTGCTGCTCTTCACCTCGCTGGCAGCTGGCCAGTCCATCTGAGCCTGCCCAGAGTTATCCCTGAGCCAGCAACAAGCACGTTCCAGTGAAACCCCTGGCCTGCCATCCATCTGTGCAGGCAATAGGTAAATTGTTCTTGGGCTCCTTCTTCTAGGGGATGAAGGGATGGGAACTGGTTTTACAAGCCCAGTTGGCCTTTCTCAGCAGCTTTAAAAGCTAAGCTTGCAGCTTTTTTTCTCTCTTAATAATGCTACTCTTGAGTATGAAAGGCTCTGGGGGAAGATTACAGTAACATGAACTACACAAATGTCTATTCAGGTCTCCGACCTGAAGTTCAGAGACAAACAAATTCCTCGTGTCTTTCCACGTTCTCACTGGATCCTCCCTTTTGTTCTCACCCTGTTGGACAAGTGCAAAGAGGTGTAGGTCTTGTGCAACCTAGAAAAGGGTTTTCAGAAAAATTAAATTTATTGCAACCTTCATGAAAACACAAGAACTGGTGGCTCTGGGACTGTGGGTATGTGAAACTCATCTGTCTTTCTGACAACGTGTATTTTGCCTGTCTCTGCAGTTTTCAGAGGCAAAACTCTAGCTTAACTCAGTATTCCTCTTCTGCACCCTGAAGTGGATTATAGGATGACAAGTAGTTGTTTCAGTTTCTCCTTTCTTGAGAGTTACTACCATACAGCTTTCAGTTAGAATGTCCCTTCACATGTTTTTTTCCTAGCTGCATCACATGAGAAGCATCTGACCTGAGAGCAAGTTAAAAGACTCTCTGAGAAGAATCTCACTCTGTATTCATACGGCCATCAAAAATATTTCTGCTTTTTTTTCTCTTCTCTAAACAGATCTGTGGAGTCACTTCCTTAAGGATCTCTCACAGATAATATAAAGTATGCCTGTTCCTAGGAAAATCATGTGACAAGCTGCATCGCAGCTTTTTGACTTGGGAAATCAGTGTCTCTCAACAGAAGCAATTGTCACCAGACAGGAGGTCAAAGTACACAGGGACATTCTGTGGGACTGCCCTAATGTGCTCCATTTTAGTACTTAGACGTTTACAGTAGATCTCAGGGAGGTTTGGGTCATAAACTGTTACAATCCTCCAAATATATCCAAGGAATTGTGACTGCTTTATTTCAGGAGGCACAAATATAACCTGGAAATAGGACCACTGACACAAATTCAAACACTGAGATGCTCCCTTGGCTTTTGAATAGAAACAGACACACCACCATCTGCCAAAATAACATTGAAACATCTCATCCTTGCACAGAAGATGTGAATAGGGTCAGGCCCAACCAGAAATCCAGCCACATCCTGGGCTGCATCAGGAGAAGTGTGGCCAGCAGGTCGAGGGAGGGGATTCTCCTCTACTTTGATATCGTGAGAACCCATCTGCAGTGCTGTGTTCAGCTCTGGGGCACCCAATATAAGAAGGACATGGACCTGCTCGAGCAGGTCCAGAGGAGGCCACAAAGATGATCAGGGGGCTGGAGCAACTCCCCTGTGAGGCCAGGCTGAGAGAGTTGGGGTTGTTCAGCCTGGAGAAGAGAAGGCTCCAGGGAGACCTTGTAGCAACCTTCCAGTACTTAAAGGGGAGGGACTCTATCAGGGACTGTAGGGATAGGATGAGGGGTAACAGTTTTAAACTGAAAGAGGGTAGATCTAGATTAGGTGTAAGGAAGAAACTATTTACTGCATGGGTGGTGAGACACTGGCCCAGGGTGCCCAGAGCAGCTGTGGCTGCCCCCTCCCTGGAAGGGTTCAGGGCCAGGTTGGACGGGTCTTGGAGCAACCTGGGCTGGTGGAAGGTGTCCCTGCCCATGGCAGGAGGGCTGGAACTAGATGGTCTTTAAGGTCCCTTCCAGACCAAACCATCCTGTGATTCCATGATCTGAGGTTTTATGCTAGAATAGACAGTACTTTCCAAGAGTCTTGCTCAGTTTATTTCACTCTGTAAATCTGCAGTCCCTCAAGGAAAGGTCATTACTGAATACTAAAGTGAACATTTTTCTCATATCTGAAAGAGATCTGCTCGTTCATAATATTACTTAGCATGCAGCCAGGGCTCATGACAGAGTGCTGCCTGTGGACAGGGTATCATATTGGTATCACACTTCTGTGTTAATTTTTAAAGAAGGATCCCACATTGGTATATCCGTGAAGCCTCAGATCCAACCAGACAGTTCAGACTTATGCTCCAGTACTGAAGAGCATGGCATATCTTTCTATCTAAAACAGAGATAAAATATGGATCCAAAGTCCCCCAGACTTTAAGGTATTAATATGACTCTTGGAAGCGCATCTCCATCCTAAGAGGATACTAATCAGTTGTGCCATGAGTGTTCATTCAGTACATGTCTCCATGGCGTTGCACAAACCTGAGATCATCTCATGGTCCATTTCTTCCAGGGTCTAGAGCATCACAGAAGCTGTGTAGATGACTGCTTTCTAATGTGTATAGCAGTTTGCTAACCATGAGACCCAAATCAGACAAGGCCAAGGTGGTGGGAGGGGAACAGGAATTAAATCTGCCCCAAAGGAATCAGTGATTCATCCAAATCAATGGAATGCCACCAAAATCTTGCTTTTAAGCACAGGTCCTTTGCAGGCCCATCAAACAGGAGCAGGACTGCTCCAAAGGGAGTGCCCAGTGCCTGCCTGGGAGAAGGAGCAGAGCTTCTGCTGCCATGGTGC